TAAATCAAGGTAGCCGTTAACACTGTTAAATTATATATTATATATATAAATCATCAAAGAAAGGTAAATACTGTGTTCGAATAAGGACATAATGATATACATCGTGTAGCATAGCTCGCAACGATGTTTAACCATGAAGCCTCTGTGGTCTAATGGTGGTTATGACGCTCGCCTTGACAGCGAGAGGTCGCAGGTTCGAGTCCCGCCTTATTCGAACACTGTATTTACCTTTCTTTGATGATTTATGTATATAATTTAACAGTGTTAACGGCTACCTTGATTTATATTTCAGTGTATGCTATTATTTGTTTCTAGTCGTACTTATTGTGTAATGGAATATCTGGTGGTATTTGAATCTGTTTAACCATGTAGCCTCCGTGGTCTAATGGTTATGACGCTCGCCTTGATAGCGAGAGGCCGCAGGTTTGAGTCCCGCCAGAGGCATCTTATTACACAATTTCTTTATTCATTTATTTACAGGACTACATTCGTTGCGAGCTATGCTACACGATGTATCATTATGTCCTTATTCGAACACTGTATTTACCTTTCTTGGATGATTTATGTATATTGATTGATTGAAGATGTGTATAAGAGACAGTATATATACAACACACACACACAGGCCTATATATATGATATATATACAATATATAGAATATATATATATATATTAATATTATTATTATTATTATAAATTAAATCGTACGAGAAACGAATCTGACAAAGAAAGAACAACAATCTCAGCCTCCACCGGGACTCAAACCCCGGACCTTTCGCCATAACCATTTGACCACAAAGGGATTGTAGAATTTGAGTTCATTTGATTTTTTTAACGTGTCTGACATCACGATGTTGATATAGCACTAATATCGCACGTGACTAATAGGTTGCCAGAGATTTATAAGATGCGCCCCCTCTTTTGTGCATTATTTTCAGCTTGCTGGATCTCGAATGAGATACTTGTATACAAAGTTATTTAAAGGCATAGGCCTATGGGAAAAACAGCAAGAGGAATGATGCAGTGAATAATATAAATTGAAACGTAACAGAAGAGGAATCTGACAGAGAAAGATAAAGATCTCAGGCTCCACCGAGACTCGAACCCGGGACCTTTCGCATACATAGCGAAAATCATAACCACTTGACTACGAAAGCATTGTGGTGATATATTATAACTATTGTTTTTAATAGCTGCTTTCATCATAAACAGTCTCTTCTTTATAGCTCTAGATGGACATTATTTATTTCTACTTTAATAACTAGGCCCACTATCCTAAAATATCAGTTCCTTTTAATGAAAATTATTAATTCACCTTTAATAACATTTACAGTGTTATCAATTCACGTCATTATGTCTATTACATCACATCCGTAGGTCAGTTGGTGGTCGACTTGTTGGTGCTGTATGGTGGTTCTTTACTCTTATATTCATTGCGTCATACACAGCAAATCTCGCTGCATTCTTGACGATTGAAGTCATGATACCCGCAATCAACTCCGTTGAAGACCTCACAAATCAAAGTATCATAAAATATGGCGCCGTTTTAAACGCCTCAACTATGGAATTTTTCAAGGTAAAAAATTAATCTTGGTGTGTTTAATATTCTAGTGATATCAGTGGCTCTTTTCTCGTTTGGTCTCAACAGTGCCACCAACCTTGATCCCTTGTCTTTTTCTCTATCTATTATATTGTAGGCCTAAATATTATTCTTATGATGATCGATCAATTCATTGGATAATTAATTTGCTGATATTGTTTGATTGATTGCCTGATTATATGATTGATTTATCAACCAATCGAGTTTGTTGAATAGTAAATTGATTAATTGATCGCTTGATTGATTGATTGATTAATTGATTGATTGATTTATTGACAAACATACGATAATAGAAAGCCACATCATATTAAAATATCGACCTTAATATTCATTAGTGTGGACGACATCGTTTCAGAAGTAGCATTATTTCAGCAAGTAGCATTTATTATGTTAATACAGTAATCATATTTTGATTAATATTTTGTCTTTCTGCTTACCAATTTAACTAATGTCTTTCAGAATTCCAAAACCCCAGTTTTAACCAAAATCTGGGACGGTATGAAAGAGGATGCGAATAATTTCGCGGCAGATAACAAAGAGGGCGTAGAGAGGGTTCGCCACTCCAAGGGAAAATACGCATTCTTCCTAGAGTCGTCGGTAAATGAATTCAACAATCAGCGAGAACCATGTGATACGATGAAGATTGGACCTAATCTAGATTCAAAAGGATACGGCATTGCATTCTCCAAGGAGAAGGATTGGTTGAGGTTTGAACATGAATACATATTTGCAAACGATTTAATTAATTAAATGTGTAAACATTTAATAATAAATATAAATATATAAATATATATATAAATATTATATATATATAATATATATTTGAAGATTTGCCTCAAAATTTATTTGAAGACAATATATTTGAAACAACATATATA